ACAGCTGCCTCTCTATTGTTCAGGATGCCTTTATACACCATCCCGAATCCTCCTTTCCCCAACTTGTTGGCAACATTGCAGTCTCCGGTGGCAGCTTTGAGTTCCTTCAATCGGAACTTCTGCGGTGCAGTTGATGACCTCTGAATTTCTTCTAAAATCTCCAATTCGTCTTCTTCCATTTGATTCTTTTTGTTTGTCCTTTTCCAGTAAAAGAAATAGAAACACTTTGAAAACAGAATTATCAAAACAAAGAACGGGAATCAAAATCCAAAGCCAAAGAAAGGGATTGAATTTTTAACTCTTATCTCAAAACTGTTGAAATCCCAGGGTTTGACAGCTTCCAACCCTGCATTCTCCCGGTTAAATCCGGAGCCCCACCAAAACATCGACCGGATGTTGTGTGGAGAGATCAAGAGGGACATTCAACACTGGATTGTAGAATTTCCCTTCCCCTGTTTCCCCTGTTCCGGTTGAGAACACAAAAACATCAACTTTGTCAGATTTTGCATCATGCTGAATGGTTTTAGTGATATCTTGCCCGGCAGAAAGATTAACGCCATGACCAATTAAGGGTTCTTGCATTCTTGAGTAGATGCCCTTGATATCAACCCCAACATGATTGTCGTCAATATCTTTGGAATCACTTTTTTGGGGTCGAATTCTATGACCACAATGTTTAGTAGATCCACTGTGGTAGAATTCACAATTCCGAGCCATTGGCCGCCGCTGTTGTTGGGGAGAGAGCTGTCCTCTGTTAATACGAAAGCTAGCTCTCACCAGCGGGCAAGGTCAACGGATTTAAGTTGAACACGAATGTGGAATTGAACGAGGACTTTGAGCCTCTTAGCCCGTCCCATAGTTTCAACCTTTGATTGTATAGGACCCTCCCTGACCTCTGCTGGATTGAAATTCCTCCTCCGACCACATTAGGAGTTACTTGAACGGCATTGTTGAAGATGTATGAGAAATTGCTAAAAATAAAGTCACTGGCATTTTCATTGCTAAATTAAGGGTAAGAAAAATTCAAGCACTCTACATGAACAATGTTGATGAAGATGAGTATGATTAGACGCTTGGAAACTCGAGGTAAGAACATGAATCCGAGCATATGAAGCTTCAAGATTGTTCCCACTTTAATCTAGATTTCTGGGTTCAAGGATAGATGAATGAAGAAATGCAGGGTCAAAGCATGCTCAGATCAGAATAGAATGGAAGTCAGTGCTATATACTGTTGTCCAGGCCGACTGGGAGTAGCTAACACGCATGAGAATAAATGGACACAAATCTTCAAATTGTCTTAGTCAAGGATTTCATTGTTGAATGATTGAAGAAGGTACTGTGTCCTGATGAAGGCTTGGAAAATTTTGCTGCTTAATAATAAATCATAATTTTAACCTCATGGATATATTGGAATGTGGGTACTTAATGTGTGGTATATTATTTTTAGTAAATTGATGGAGACTTTGTGGATGCAATTGAGGTATTGATGAGAAGCATTTTATATACTTTAATCTATTATTTTAGTTTTGATTTTATTGCTATTTAGATGGATAAGATGTGATTTTTAATAGTTTCTATATAATTTTTACTTTTTTGGTAGAAAAATACTTGAATACATAATAATAGAAGTTTCTAGACTAAATTAAATATCATTAGAAAGTTGAGGGATTGAATTGTGAGAAGAAAGGTTACTTCCAGGGACCTAAAGGAATGAATTCGAAATTATGGAATCAAAGTGCTTATTGTATAGAATCTGGAGGACCAAATCCGCCACTAACCACTGAAGAAATTGCAAAAAGATTAAAAAACCAATACGGTTTAGCGTCTATACCTACATTATTGTGTTGACAATATGACTATGAGTTACACCTTGGAGAATATGCGCCAGTGAATTAAACAGAACTTCCAACACCATAATGGTGGTGTCAACACTCTAAGTACTTTCAGTTTTAAAAATTTTTATTTTCTTCGCAAGTTTTAGTTATTTTTTAATAACTTGAATCACTTGGCCTATGCTATAAAAAAATTTCAACCTTATGGCAATGTGATCATTGGGTCAAAGGAGAGATTGAGATCCTATCATGGTTGTGTTGGAAGTCGTTTTTCCACAAATTGTTAACAATATTAATTTTTAATTTGTTGTAATTAAGTTGATTTTAATAATTATACATACATTCTAATGTTCTAAGCATCTCATGTTCTCTAAAAAGTTCTAAAGCCATCTCTTCCAGAGTTAGAGTTAGGGTTTTTTCCCTTCTTGACATGTGAATTCCTACCCTTAGGATCTCTATTTGTTGGAGATTTCACATTTTTTCACCTTTTTCTTTCTCTTTTCCCCCTTATTTTTCCTCTCTTTTCTTCTTTACTTGATTATATATATATATATATATATATATCAAAACTTTGGTGGCGGCTGTGGAATTGAATTGGATTTCATGTCCCTGTGTGGGGGGTTGGTGCAACAACCAAGAGGTTTGCATGCTCTGATTTGAAATCCCATGTGTTGTTGCATTTATTTGGGCTATGGTAGTTCTTGGGTTGTCAACGAGCTGAAGGTGAAGAGTTGTGATGGGGACTTGGGAGGTTTGGGACAAGCATGGTGTGGAAGTCGGTTACTACTACTTTTCTTGATGAGCTTGGTTTCCCTTTTGCAAATGACTTTAAGAAAATTGTTCATATTGTGGGTTTCCTCTCAGTAATCTAGGGATTAAATTAACGCATGCCTTTTTTAAGGACAATATGTAGTCACACAGGAGAAGAAAGAAAAATATGCTATAAGTTTGGAGAGGTTCTAATCACTACTACATTCGACATCTTCAGCTACAAATTCTTGGACACAGAAGGTGTTATCATAGCTAGTATATATATTTTTTGGACCGAAAAGACCCAACCAGTCCGAAGCAACCCCATAGCTAGTATATATATAAATATAGCCTTTCCTTGTATGATGGTGTTGTGGTAGGTAGGGGACTATTGTAGTGCCTTTTCTTGCTCTCACCTAGTTTTTAATGTTGTAGCTGTAATTACTCAGAACTTATGGACACTCAGGTAGGATAACTATTTCTTTTTGGCTTGTAGAACCATTCCTATGACCTTTCTTAGTACTTAAATGGCTCATTCAAATAGGGCACATTTGTATGCTACTGTTATAAGTAGTTGCTTTCTATATAAGACTTCTTGCATGATGTAGTTAATATACTTTCATAGTCATCAATAAAAACTATAATTTTTCTCAAAAAAAAAATAATTTTATATGCAATATCCTTTCAATTTAACATTGTTGGTGAAAATATTTTTTGATTGGTAAGCATTTTAAGATTAATTCTTTCTAAATAATTTTAATGATACACCTTTTATATAGGTAAGGTGAATTTAAGAAATGATAGCACAATACAAGATAGGCCATGGCCTTAATCCTAAAAAATAGAGCTAATATTAAAGATGTGATAAGTTTGAATTTTATACAATTTTTACATGCCTTTTAATCTTAAATTTTACTTCTTGGAGTTGTTTGAGTTATTTTATTTGATTTTACATATGTTTAGTCTCTTTCTTTTTTTTTTTTCTATAGATAAGAACTAAATTGCAATAATTAGAATTTTTAAGACCAAACCAAAGGAATCAGAACTATAAAGATAATAGTGTCAACTTGTTAAAAGATGAGGGACTAGAAAAGTTTTACCAATGAAGATTCAAAATTAATTAAAAAGCCAAAACCCCGACACAAACTTTTTATCCAGAAATTTAGTGACAAAGTCGGTATCGCTTTTAGGGTGTCGACCCCTTCGGCAGTATTCAATGCACAATTTTGAGCATTGGTAGGAAGAGAACAGGGAGAAAAACAAAAGAGGGGTGGCAGGCGTTTTGAAGGAGAAGGTTGTTTCAGCAAGAAAAAGGGGTTCTCTAGTAATAGCATTGATAAATTTCGAACCCTATCTTTATTTTTGTTGAAAATGAGATTTTCATTTCATTTTGTTTTTATATAGTTAATTATGACTTAAGTTATTTTTTTTAGGGTTCCAATTGGATTTAAACCATGAATCTTCAAGTTTTCAGTTGAATTCAATTTCTATTTACTTCTTTTTGTTTAAGTGATTATTCTATTTTGTATTAATACTTCTAATTGAATTGATTACTCAATTAGTCGTTTAGGTACCCAACACTCATCTTGGAAAAGAAATATTGGAGCTGAGTCTTTGAATAAAATAACATAAGTTGCATGAGATAGGAATATACTCATAATATCTATATAGTTCCCAAAGAAAAATCATACGACTTAATAGTGCTTCTACCTTTTTTGATTATGTAGAAATGGAAAAATTAATAAGTTAAATGACAAATATTGCTAGGTATTGGGAAATATTCATAATTTTTACATGAATTTTTCCACCATCACTTGAGAATTAATTGGTTGAGGAAAAAATTCAATAAGAGAAGTTTGAAGAGGATTGGGTCAGTAAAATTTGTATTCCTAAATTGTTTAGCAATTAAAATTAATTTCTACAAGTTTGTTTAATTTAGAATTGATTTAATCAAGTTTATTCTTCTTAAATTTCGAAATTGTTAGATAAAATTAGAATTAACATAATGTCAGTACAGCAAGAGTTTTTTTAATTTTTAATTTTTGTGACATGATATTCGATTCATTATTATATTACTTCTTAGACAATAATGTGCTCTTGCATTTAGTGTGAGGTTATATTCATAACAAGATATAGGTTGAAGCCTAACTCATGGAGGGTTATTTTCATACTTTTCTAAATATCTCTTTGAGAAAAAGTATAAATAAAATGCCAACTTTGTAATTTTTTTTATTTAAGGTGTTAAATTTGTTAATTTTTAAGTTTTAATTTTTTTATTTAAGGATATTAACATTTTTTTAAAAAAAATTGCTTGTCACATCATATCACTATTTAATTAATTTTTAAATAAAAAAGGTTAAAAAAGTTAACAGGCTTCAATCAAAAAGGTTAAAAGTGGATATCTTAATTACAAAAGTTAAAAATTGACATCCTTATTGGGAAACTAAAAAAAGTTAATATTTTTAAATTAACAAAAAAAAAGTCTTTCATTACATCATGCATTTTATCATTCCTCAATATTTTACAATTATTATTATTAAATTGAGGAGAGATATATTTACATACAAGTTTTATATATTATACTTACACAAAATCTTG